GGGAGAGAGAGACCGCGCAAACGAAGAACGGAGGTGAAGACCGTAGATCAACAGATCTGATGTCCACATATTATGGGTGGTGCCAGAATAATCGTGGAGCGCGCCTTTAGGGCACTAGCGAGGAGAGCAAGAATCCATGGTTGGAGCTGAGTGATGGTCATCCATCAGAGGACTGTTTATATGGAGTTCAGTGTTGTTTTCGGGGGTGTCTTAATAGGATCGGTGCCACCAGGAACTCGCGTCATCATGATAATTCGAATTCAGTATGATAATTCGATAACTCGATAACAACCACTGGTTTGACCAGTGACTGACCATTCGAAGGTTTTAGTCAAATTTTCAGACATGTGAGTTCAGTAGTAATCCTGTGTGGTCGCTTCATGCCCTTATTCTTGTTTAATATTACTGGTGAATATTACTATACTGGGCACCGTTTACCAGTCACTAAGCTGTCACTGCTAAAGTCAACTGTAAATTTAATAGGTTGGCAATCAGGATGCAGTACACCTATTTTTTTAAGTTACCTATCCGTTTCAGTTTCTTCATCGCTGCTTTCCAGAACGGGAATCTGAGTACAATGAAAGCACAATATCAAACACGGTGAATTTTAGTTCAGGCACAGTTCCATTATTCCATCATCCTATTCCATCCTAAGTTTGATTTTTATTACCAGCTGTTTCCAGTGATGGTACGCTGCGAGTGATTCGACCGCTCATATTCGTTCGTGAGAAAGCTTTGCGTGAATTTGCTGAATCTAAAGGACTTCCTGTAGTAGCCGAGAATTGTCCAGCATGTTTCAATCAGGCAACTGAACGGCATCGAATTAAACAGGTTGGATACTGAAATCTCATAAAGGTCATTCCCAAGTTTAAGCATTATTGAAATGTCTGTCACTAGGATGTTATGGTCATACACCGACTGTTAAGGTTCTTTAGGGTTGTATTTTGTGAGACGACCCTGTAGAACATTGAGCCACTGAGCTGGGAGGGTTAGAGCGACCCCGGTAGCGTGATGGACAACGCAACCTCCTGATGAGCGGGAGATGCGGGTTCGATTCCCATCCGTGGTCTGACTTTTGCCCATAACTCAGCACTCTTGTGATAACTTTCGGAACGCGCACTGCGGCGAACAGCATTTATCGAACTCCTTATGGCATTCAGAAGCACAGTCTGAACTACTCGGGATAGCCAACCACATTGTCGTCTTCATTGACGGGCTTAGCCGCTTCTTCTAACACGGAAGAAGGACGATCCAATGAGGATGGCAAAACGGTTGGATGTCTTCACCCGTAGGATCAACGCGAACTACGTCTTTAATCATACCATCGGGGCAGAACTGCATATTTTGAGTTCCAAAAGGGAATGGAGTACATTAGTCAGGAGCATGAGTTTTCGTTAAGAAAACATATTCGTTCACTGCTCAAGGCACTTGCGAAATGGAAACTGAGCTAATCACTACTTGAAGTGCACTACTGTACTGAATTGGAAAGTAGACTACCATCATCTTCCAAATGAAACCATTAACATAGGGAACTATGTACGTTACACCAAAATTTTAATCTCATGCGGTACGCTCCCTCAAAACGATGCATTACTGCATGAGCAGGAGAATGCTGTATCGAGTGTTGTGCCCTCACCAGGAGAAGGTCAACAGGTCGCCATGGCCATTCAAGATGAGATGCATATCGACGTGTACGTCTCGGGACGCTGAACTCAAATCTGCTTTCAAAATTTGAGTTCGAGTACAGACAGTCTTAAAGGCAGCGCCCACGTTCACTTGATGTTCCTACGCCCTTTCTGGATATCATAGCCCTCCCCATAAGGATGCAGTATGTACTAGTTTTGCATCTCACAAAGGCGAGAGGATAGCGCCTATCGCTAGTAAAGAGTCGACCGCCCCGCCCACCTGGCGACCACGACGCCCAACTTCATTTCTAATGGTTGCCTGATGGTGCGGTTGTTCC